TAATATGTAAATGAATAAAAATCCAAGATTTTATATCACTTTGAATTTTTTTTTCTCACCTGTGGTTTTCTTGTTGATAAAAAGACCGATTATATTTTGTTTTCTGGGCATCACTTTCACAACAAATTGGTGAGGTGAACGCAAATGAGAAGTTGTCGTCAACAAAGTATGAGATTAAGAAATTCACCAGAGTGAATGATTTTGGATTATGATGCTTGAAGATGCAAGCTCTTATTGTATAATAGGGTTTGTTAGAAGCGTTAAAAGGATTGAGAAAAAATGGTTGCTACCCTGACGACGAAAGAGAAGACGTCGATGATCGAGAAAATCCACAGTGCCATCCTATTAAGGCTTGGCGATAAGGTTCTCTGACAAGTCTCAAAAGAGAAAACAAATGTTGGTGTGTGGAATAAACTCGAGGTATGTACATGACCAATTCAAGATGAGTGAAGGTAAAGTCTTGACTGAACAATTTAATATGTTCAATAAGGTGATTCTTTATTTGGAGAATATTGATGTTACGAACGATGATGAAGATCAAGCGTTGCTAATGTTGTGTGCATTACAAAGATCTCATGCTCACTTCAAAGAAATACTCGTGTATGGAAGATAGTCTCTAACCTTTGAACAAGTTCAATCGGCCTTGTATTAGAAGGACCTGAATGAAAGAAAGGAGCATAAACTATGTTTTGTTGGTGAATGATTGTTCGTAAAATAAAAATTCACAAAGAAAGATGGTAGGTTTGAGAAGAAGAAGGGTAAAGGTCAACAGAAGTCTTATGGTGGTGATGCTTTTGTAATTGGATGTTATCACTGTAAGAAGGAGGGCCACACAAGAAAGGTGTGCCCTGATCGACTGAATAATCATGATGGTAAGGATAATGGAATGTAGTCGTGTGCAAGATGATTATGAATCATCTGATATCTTGGTAGTTTCGAGCAACAATTATAGCAAGGAATGAATCATGGATTCATGTTGCACTTGGCACATGAGTCCTAACAAAGGCGTGTTTGAGAAATTATGTGATCAAGATTGTGGATCAGTGTTGTTGAAAAATAACAAAGCCTGCAAAATTGCAGGAATTGGATATGTGAAATTCAAACTCCACGATGAGTCAATAAAGTTATTGACTGGTGTCAGTATGTACCTGATCATAAGAGCAAGGTATCCCAAGGGTAATGAAAGGGTTGAAAGAAGTCTTGAGAGGCATCAAGAGGCGAGGTCTGTATACCCTTGAGGCTAAGATTGTAAGTGATTCAGTAGATGTGGCATCTATAAAACCCGTGTTAAAGACTGAGTTATGGCACATGAGAGTTGGCCATGTCAGTGAAAGGGGCATGGTCAAATTAGGGAAATAAAATCTACTAGGTAGTGACAATGTCGAAAAGTTAGAGTTCTATGAACCTTGTGTGTTTGGTAAAGCATGCAGATTGAAGTTCAACTAAGACAAATAAAGAACACATGGATCCCTTGATTACATTCATATTGTTCTTTTGGGGGCCTGCAAGAAATCCTTCACACTCAGGTGCAAGATATTTTCTATCCGTAGTTAATGATTACTCACGGAAGTTATGGGTATTCACTCAGATAACTAAGGATAAAACTTTTGAAAATTTCAAAAGTTGGAACACTCTGGTCAAACATCAGATTGGCAGAAAGGTCAAGAGGTTGAGGATCAATAACGACCTTGATTTCTGCAGTGAAGCTTTAAGAAATTATTGTGCTATGTCTGGTATTACAAAGTAGTCATTAGCAGGTACTCCTCAGTAAAATGATATGGCTGAAAGCTTCGATCACATTATCCTAGAAAGGGTTAGATGCTTGTAGGTTAATGTATGATTGAATAAGATGTTTTGGGTTGAGGCTGTAGTGACTGCAACATTACCTGATAAATAGGTGTCCCTCGATTTCTTTGGAGAAGAAAGCACCTGAAGAAGTATGGTTAGGGAAACCACTTAATCTCGACAGACTTATAGTATTTAGCTGTGTAGCATATGCTTATATTAGGCATGATAAAGTCGAACCTTGAGATCTGAGATTTATTTTTCTTGGATACCTTGAAGGAGTCAAAGCTTTTAGGTTGTGGTGCCTAGAGCTAGGTCACAAGAGGTGTATCACAAGTGGAGATGTAATTTTTAATGAAGTTGAGATGACTTTCAAGAAAACTGATGACATTTGTTGAAGTACGAAGATCTATATAGAAGAGATGGAGTATGAAGAGATTCCTGTTGAGGAGGAGCATAGTAATGCTGAGTTGCATAACCCAGATGAAGTCAAAGAATAATCACAAAGTTGTGAAAAAGTTGAGGAGACTGATAATGATTACATGCTGGCAAAAAATAGGTTAAGAAGAGTCATCAAGCCACCTTAAAAACTTGGTTATGCAAATCTCATAGCTTTTGCTTTAATCTCTGCAAGTGAGGTCCTTGATGAAGAATCTAGAGACTATAAAGAAGCTGTGAGGAGTAGAAATAAGACCGAATGACTGAAAGACATGGATAATGAGATGAAGTCTCTTCATAATAATAACACTTGGGAGCTGATTGAGAAACCTACAGGATCTTGAATTAGTCAGTAGTAAGTGGATTTTCAAGGTTAAGGAAGGAATCAAAGAAATGATATCAAAGCGATTTAATATAAGGTTGGTTGATAGGGGATTCACTTAGAAATAAGGATTCGACTTTAATGATGTGTTGTCACCTATTGTAAAGCATAGATCCATTAGAATATTGTTAGGCATTGTGGCAAAGTTCGACCTAAAACTTGAACAGCTGGATGTGAAGATCTCATTCTTCTATGGTGATCTAGATGGAACACTCTTGATGAGGCAACCTGAAGGGTATATAGAAAAAGGAAAGGACTATCATGTGTGACAGTTGAATAAGTCATTACATGACCTGAAATAATATCCTCGACAATGGAATACGATATTTGACAAATTCATGGCACACATATGTTTCACTAGGAGCCAATTCGACCACTGTGTTTACTTTAGATTTCAATTTGGAAATTCACTTGTTATTTTGTTGCTTTATGTGAATGACATCCTCATAGCAAGCAATCGTTTCGAGGATGTAGTGAATGTGAAGGTTGAACTCGGTAAGGAGTTAGACATGAAGGATTTGGGAGCTGCCTCCAGAATTCTTGAGATTAACATCCAGAGAGATAGAAAGTAGTCTAGATTATGCTTATCTCAAGTGACATACTCAAAAAAGACTCTCAACGAATTTGGCATGTCGAATTCAGAGCCCTTTATAACACCGACTAATCCTCAGTTCAAGCTAAGTACGACTCAAAGTCTTTGTACTAAAGTCGAAAGAGCCTATATGAAAAGCATTCCATATGCTAGTATAGTAGATTCTTTGACGTATGCTATGGTATATACGAGGCCATACATAATGCACGTAGTGAGCCTTGTAAGCAAGTCTATGGCCAATCTTGGAAAGACGCACTAGCAAACATTAAAATGGATCCTAAGGTACATAAATGAATCTCTCAACAGAGTCCTAATTTATGGCAAAGTCTGTGGTGATGATAGCAAAGTAGAAATCAAAGGATTTGTAGACACTGATTATGCAGGTTGTATGATTTCTAAAAAAATTATTTCTGGATGTATTCAATATGTTTGACACATCAATTAGTTGGAAAACAACACTTCAGAAGGTTTTTGCCTTTTTAACCACTGAAGCGGAATATATTGCTCTCACTGAAGCTGTGAAAGAAGCATTGTGGCTTGAAGGTTTTACTAAGAAGTTGAAACTTCAAGGTCAAGCAATCACTAATAAATGTGACAGTCAAAATGAAATACGCATGTCAAAGAATTCATCATATCATGAGTGGACCAAACACATCAATTTGAGGCTGGATTTCGTCACAAAGATAATCGAGCGTGGAAAAGTCCAAGTGCTGAAGGTTTTGACTGATGACAATGATGCTGATATGATCACCAAGACATTGTCAAGTTGCAAGTTTTTCCACCGTATGTTGGTGATAGGACTGCATGATGACAACTAGTTGGTTTCGTGATTCGGAGTTTGTTCTAATGTGGAGATTTTTGTAGCTTATGAGTTACAAACTAGTGTTGCAGCAAACTCTGTCGAAGTCGAAAAGTTAGTGTAACTGTCAAAAATATGTTAGGTTGTTAGTATGTCGAATTGGGACAGTATGTTAGCCTAATTGTTTAGTATGTTAGTTAAAAGTTGTGATTTTAGTTTTCTTATAAATAGCATATTAGTCCTTACTTTTTAATAATTCTGATAGAAGTAGAAAATTGTATGGTTGAGATTTAATTGTAAACATTGTTTTTTAACGTGCAATTGAATAAAAAAAATCAAGATTTTATATCACTTTGAATTGTCTTTTTTTTTTTTCACCTGTAATTTTCTTGTTGATAAAAAAACCGATCATATTTTATTTTCTAGACATAACTTTCACAACACAACACTTTGATTTTAATATGTGAAATTGGGGCGTAGATCTTACAACTTTATGTAAAATCTAATTTCATAATTAAAAAAAAAATATTTTTTTTACAAACACAAAACTAAAGAAAACAATTTTTTTTGCAAAAGCAAAAGTAAAATAAAAAATAACATTTAAAAAAAAAAGAATTCATGGGATGCTTTGATGCTTTTTTAGTATATTTTTCTTTCTCCTATTTGGAACTAGAGGGACACATTATTTATATTATTAATTTTGTTTATATAACAAAAAATTGTTCAAAACTTCTATAAATAGGGACTGTGATCATAGTAGCACATTACCAAGTAGTAACACAGACATTTCCCATATTTTGTTTTCCTTTTCATCCATAACTTCTGCACTAAGACAAAAAGCATTTTCTGAATATGATCAAATTCAAAACCCTGTGACCAAACAAATCTACCACTAACATTTCAAACACCACTCTCTATACTCTATTTTCATCTCTCACTTTTTGTTACATTGCAAACACAAACAACACAGTTCCAACAAAACAAAGAAAAACACAGAAACAGTAATGACAAGTTGTTCATTTCCCATTCATAGTTTTGTTCCTGTTGGATTCAGATTCCGTCCTACAGATCAAGAGCTTGTTAACCACTATCTCACAAACAAACTACTCGGAAATGTTTCCGTTGTTAACAATGTTATAGCGGAAGTTGATGTATGCAAGTTCGAACCATGGGAGTTACCGGGTAAATATTGAAAAACATAGGAATCCTATTATTGTTTTGTTGTAAAAATTTGATCTTTTTAATGTTGTTGTTCTTTTTTTCAGGTTTTTCTGTTATAAAATCTGATGATCCAGAGTGGTTTTTTCTGTCTCCGCGTGATTATAAATATGCTAACAGCAAGAGGTTTAACAGGGCTACAAAGTATGGATTTTGGAAGGCTACTGGTAATGACAGGAAAATTAAGATTAGGGGTAGTGATAAGGTTATTGGGACTAAGAAGACTCTTGTTTATTATAAAGGTCGTGTTCCTGGTGTTAAGACCAATTGGGTTATTCATGAGTATCATGCTGTCAACTTCGAGGATGCTAAGGTTTGTTTTAACTTATGATGTTTTGATTATTTAACACTTTTTTTATTTTTCTGAAAAAAACCATCATGTTTAGTTACTAGAAATGGATTGAGAATGTGTGTTTTTTCAGGTTTTTTGATGCTTTTCCTATCTGAATGTTTGTTATGAAATTTGAAGATTACTCTTTTGTGATCAAGTTTTTGTTGAAATTGTATTTTGTTAATACCAAGCACATTCTGTCAGTTTTTTCTGTGAATTCATAGACAAGTTTCTGATTTTGAAGCATTGGCTTGATTTGTCTTTGCATTTATCTTGCAAAATTTTGTAGAGGACTTTTGTTTTATGCCGCTTGATGAAGAAAGCGGAGAAAAAAACTGAAGAGGAAGCTGATATAATGATCTGTGATGAAGGGGAGCCTAGCAGACACATCAGTTCCGACTGCGAAATTCAAGAAGCTGTCAAAGGAATTCCAGATGTAAGCAATGTGTTCTTGATTTTAGAGACGTAGAATTGATTTTGACGTATTTCGATACTCACCACGAGTAAGATTGATTCTAAAAACTTATCGTTGTTTCAGGTAATAAGCGATCCTTTACCAGAAATGAACATGGAATCGATATTTCAAGAGCCACACCAGGCAGGTAGATACATTCCCTTCTCGACGCAACAATCTTTGATATCTGAAAATGAGCAGGAAGTTTCTGTCTCAAACTTCCGATTTCCCAATGCCTATTTTGGAAATGAGAATATCGACTTTCAAAGTCCGTTTGAGACTATTGAAGAGGAAGAAAAGTTCGTCAACTCAATGTTGATCGATAGGGAATTCGTTAGTAGTGAAAAAAGAAGACAAACTTTTGTCAACGGTTCCATTGAGTCCGAGTCGTTGAGAATGGTCTACTATGAAAACAGCGACGCAGATGTTGAAGTAGTCTCTACGCCGCCGGTAAATATATATTGTTGAAAGACCAAATGATATTAGGAACTCTATGTATCTACATTTGCTCAATGTGCTGACATGAGTTTTGCCACATTTTTGCAATGCTAGGTGATTTTGGTGTTTTCTTTAATAGATTCCAAAGTGCTTTTTTCCTTCATATTCTGATGTTTCAATTCTAAAATTTGACAGTTACGCAATTTTCTAGATACTTCAACAATGTATCTGGAACATCCTAGTTCACGCAAATACGGAAGTGCTCGTGTTCTATCCTTTAACAACGATGAAAGCAAAGACGAACATGAGAGTACCTATTACGATGATTTTGGGGGAGTGGAAGCATCCTCTTGTGACTCAACTGCTGGTAAACCTTTGGAGATGAGCTGTTTCGAAATTTCTAGTTCTTCTTCGACACCAAGAAGAGACAAATAGACGCATCGAGACAATCACAAACACGGAGGATGGTTTCAATCAAAAGAAGATCCAATTTTGTGGTTAGAAAACCAAGCAGTTGCATTGCAAATGAAGAAGCATGTCTTGATCAAATGATTCATTTGCAGCTTATTTAAATTTAACATAACATACAAGTCTATGAAATGTTAATTAAGTTATATGAGCTTAACTTTATAACTTCAAATAATAATGTTCAAAGTCCATCTTAAATAGTTATAAAAATGCATACAGATGATAATCAAGATCATCTAGGTTTGTCTCTAACCATCTATATGTGACTTGTGTCACAAGAAAGATGAATTTATGGAACATTTGTTCTTTGAGTTCCTTTTTTTTGTCAACACATCTTGAATCATATGTGTAATGTGCTAGAGTGCAATTGTACGGCGTGTATGGATGAGAGATTGAGAGGCCTGCTCAATAAACTTCAATAAACATAGTGGAAAAACTGCACACATTGCAGAATTTTGTAATCAATTACTCCTACAGCTCCAAATTATAAATCAGTCAGATTCAAATTATAAAATACAACTCTAATGAATTTTTCTCCAATATTCCTTCTATTACTACATCCTTTTTATAATAAATACTCAGCCCTAAATTATAAATTATTTTATAAAAAAAATTAATTTAAATTATAAGATATTAATAATATTTTTTCTAATATATCCTCAAATATTTATTATTATTTATTCTTTTAATTCTTTTAATTTCTCTCTCCTATGTAATTATGAGAAACATTATTATAAAATTACACAATTTTTTTATTTATAAAATAATAATTAAGTTTCTTAATTAGTATAAAATAGACAACATGTCTTATAATTTAGAACGAAAAGAGTATCTTATTTAAAATATACACGGTTTTATAAAAAATGATTGAATAAATTGATTTTAATGACAATATTTTTAAATTAAAATGCTCTTATTTATTATAGTTAATAGAGTAGTTGAAAAAAAAAATTAATAAATAGATAATAGTGGGAAAAAAAATTATAAATGTTGTATTAAAATTCCAAAAGCACATTTATTTTGAGATATTAAAAAGTACAAAAATGAGACACTTTTTATAAGACAAAAGACAAAAGAAAAGAAGTATTTATTATTTCGTTCATCTCATAAAAAATGTTTCATAATTGTCCATTTAGATTACCAATGTACCATTTATTATACTATACTCCTATTCATTAACTTTCATTTTATTCAACTACTTTATTAATTATATTTAATAAGAAATGTGCATTGTTTAAATATGGTATTTTTATAATATCTTTTAGCGGGGATCTCCACGGAGATTTCCCTGTTCGAGGCCCTAAAGAAGGGGAATTTTCTCCTTAGGGGTGGGGATGAGAGAAAAATTCCCTCGATAGCACTTCGGAGATGGGGATGAGCAATATATCCTCCGTCTTGCCTATTAATTTTTGTTCTGGACTGGGCCTCGACTTGGTCGAGCAGGCCCAGTCCAATTTCACCTCACAGGCCCAAATCAGTGTGGATAGTCCCATCGGGCACGTAAGCCCCGTCGGGCATACGACGCCCTCGTCGGGCACATAACCCCCGTCGGACACACGATGCCCTCGTCGGACACGCACGACCGTCGGACATACGACGCCCTCCACGGGCACGCACGACCGTCAGACACACGACGCCCTCCGCAGGTAGAATCTCCTCCCCCTGTCGAGCAGGATAACCGTGTCCTTCACACGTTCTCCACGTGCTCCCCTCCGCGGGGACACGTCACTTACCAACTGTCCACCTCCGAAAGAGCAGGTTAAACCCACTTTCCGGAGTTCACGGAGCAGTTGAACTAGGCCGAAGACCACGTTTTGGTCTTCACTACGCCACGTAAGCCCTAGCAGTCACTTGGGTTGGGCCTGGCCATCCAGCCCAACTCAAATGACCGTTGGCCCAACGATGTGGTCTCTCTATAAATACCCTCTTCCACAAGAGGGTCAGGTATTCAATTCTTAACCTCTCTTCTGTATTTGCTGTCACTCTGTCCAATCTCTCACTTTGGCATCAGAGTGTCTTGCAGGTACACCCCTCCTCCTCATTTTCAACACAGGTGAACAGGTAGCAGTCCAGGAGAGTGTGGTCAGTCCGTGATGCCCTTCTGATCAGGTCAGATCAATTTTAATATAGTTAATTTGATATATAAATTATATTTTTTATTACGTTTTTCTTTGTCATTTCCTTTAGATTTATTTTTAAAATTAAAAAACATTAATGTATTTATTAAGAGAGAGAAATGTAGATGTTAAAATTGTAGAAAAAGGTGAAGCATTTATTTTTTTCTATCACACTTGATCATTTTTTCTTCTGTTCTAAAACTTAGGAATGTCAGTTTGTATTTGTTAACGGAGATCCGTGAAAAACGAGAATGAAAATACTAACTCTCCTATAACGGGGATGTCAGTTTGTATTTGTTAACGGAGATCCGTGAAAAACGAGAATGAAAATACTAACTCTCCTATAACGGGAATCGGAGACTGAGACGGAGAATAAATTTATTGGCAGAGAGAAAGATGAAGAAGTATCCTCTATCCCCACCCTGCTCCACTAACATCTCTAGATGAACGAACTACTATTTCTTTTTTCAATTCTTTAAATTTATCATTTTAAATGAATAAAGAACTATTCTAAAGTTATGCATTTTTTTTTTCTTATACATCATTGATGATTGATTATGTTTTTTTTAATTTATATGAAATGTCTAAAATATTTAAACTAGTTTAGGAGAGAGTGAATACTTAATTGGAGTTGGAAATAAGCTTTATGATAAAAAAAAAGAGGTCAAAATTGATTGACTATAATAAAGTGAAGTACATAACGTGTTGCTTTATCTTAGATGATGTAACAAACTATGATAGATAGTGGGGAGCATAACAAACTACCAAAAGAAAGCAAAACAAGCATTATCAATTGACTAACAAATGTAGTATTATCCTCTTTAACGACACCAAATAATTAACGTGATGAAGACAAAAATATTTTAACTAACATTTAAATACGAAATTTGATATATGTATTTTTCCGTAAAACTTATAAAACAATAATTATAAAATAAAGATAAATAAATAAATTTTGACATATTTTTAAAATATAAAAATGAGAGAAAATAAATTTTGATATATCTTTCTAATATACTATCTTTAAAATAATTTTAGTTTCTTTCTAATTAAAAAAATTTAAATGGAGTATGTTTTCATCATACCATTTACAATAATGAGTATTGTCATGTGAAGTCTATTTGTGGATTTTAACATTTGATTTTAAAATCACATTTTAAAAAATGAAATATGATAAAATAAATGTATTATGTTCTTGCATCTTTGACGAAATGCTTGGAATTTAATGTATTACACTAATGTATCTTTGATTTAAGACATATTTTGAATAATATAATTAATTCAAGACTTATTTTGAACTATATATTCTAAAAGCATAATTGTTCTATTCCGCAATCATAAACGTGTAGAGTTGCAGAAGTTGCGACGAAGTGAAATGTATATTTGTAGATTAACACTCTGACGCTTAAGTCAATATGTGAATGATGATTAGTATTCAAATTGTGTTTGAAATTTATTATTTGAAATGATGTCAAACCACATATATAGGTGAAAAGGAATAACTGTCTCGCTATCTTTTCGGCGTAGGATGTAGATGACCGCTGGATGTGGTTGGAGGTACAAATCCTTCTACTTCTAGGTGTCTGAGGGTCCAAATAGTCAGGAGAATATGCTAGAAGCTTAGTAAATGTCTGATCTGGATCCGGGACATTACGTATCGTAGTGGTGGGACTAAAAAGGGATATGACTGGCTCAGAACAGTTGCCCCTAGACTTACTGGGGTCCTAGTAATCAGGAGGTCTTTAAAAGCCTTGATCGGTCGTATCGAAGATGTATCTCAGATGCTAAAAGAATTGAAACGTTTGGAGTATGTTGTAGAAGTAATTAACACATAATCCAAACGAGGTACATCTTCGATACGACCAAGTAAGTATAGGGGCAACACATCACTTTAGTTACATCACCTTAGTTACATGGGATAGGAATTGATTTCCCTACCTAAATCGTCAACACATCACCTTAGTTACATGGGATAGGAATCGATTTCCCTACCTAGGTTACTCGAGTGTCTTTTATTCGAAGGAATTCCAAATGTAAGGAGTGCATCATTGATTCAGGTAATTGTTGCGGTTGGTTGAAAATATACATGTTGAAGAAATCTCACATCGCTTAGTTTTGTGAATGAAGAGAGAGTTCAGTGCCATATATATAACAAGTTCTTTGAAGTCTCACATCACTTAGTTTTGTGAATGAAGTCAGAGTCTAAGACTATATATAGGATTCAAGCTCTTCATTCTAAGATGCATCAGTCAAAAGCACTTTAAGCTTATATTTGACTTTCTTTGTTCTCTTATACCCTTGTATTATAGTATTGTGAGATGTAGTTAAATATTTGTTTTAGAGGGTGTGGGTGTACTTGAGTCCTGAGTTAGTTAAGAGTATATCATGTGTTATAACTATTTTCACATAGTGTTATTCTTTGGTTGTCTATTGACATCGACCGTGGTTTTTTCTCCGGTTTTAGAGTTTCCACGTTATGTTCTTATGTTGTGATTGTGTTCCTCCTTTTCTCTATGTTTGCTTTTCCCAATAACTGGTATCAGAGCTTTTTTCTTGATCTGGGAATAAGTGTTCTTAGTATGCTATGTGGTTGCAGTTTTGTCTGATCTTCCACATCAAAAAAGAAGGGAAGTGTTGTGAAAGAATTGTTGAGCTGCAGTCGCAAAATCCACTGTGCAGTTTGGACTAGAGAAAATTGATGGAAGAATTTTTTTACTTGTGGAAAGTTCAAGTCAAATATGTGTTGGTACAATCAATATTACACAAGGTGCAAGGTTACATCGGTGGCTGGAGAGCTTCCGACCAACATGAAAGTTACACCATAACGTTTCAACCAGGTTTTTGACATGT